ACAATAAAAAAAACAGGAGCATAAATACTGGGCTACTGGAGTTGAGGATGATAATAAATGCAGGTGAGATAATCATGGGATTAGAAACAGCTGTGGGGGACTAAAGAGAGTAAGGGAAAGTGAACCTCTAATTCAAAGAAAACTGAACTAGAAAAATATTCAATGAAACATTCAAACTAAAAAAAATAAAATAATAACGTAAAACCAAAACACCCCAAGATCATACCACCAAGTGGTAAGCAGTAATCTCCCATCTTTGCAGAAAACATTTACTACAGTCTGGAAAAAAACTGAGAATGTAAACCGGCAACAGGGATCATGCTTTGTGTGTGTTACATCACTGCAGTTCTGCACTGAATTCATCTGAAGAGAAATCAATAAAAACACCCTCTGCTACACTTTTTATATAATAAATTTCACACTCAATGGAACTCTATATCAGTTTACCATCAGACACTTGTTCTGAAGCTTCTTCTTTAGGAGTGACTTTTCACAAAAAATGTAAAACAAAAATGCTCAGCCATAAATAAATTAAAACAAGCAATACATCCCTCATACACAGTTAAACCTTGCAGTACTCAACATTTAGTATAAATTAGGTTTATTGGCAAAATTAAAGATTAGGAGCTTTTAGTAATTATGAGTTATTAGTAATTATACTGAACAAATTATACAAAACAAAATACAAAGTGTCTGTAGACGATTATTATTTAATGACTTTCAGGACAAGCATCTTTAGTTCTTAGCAAATCCTGTTGCTGCTAAGACCTGTTGCTTAACAGCCACGGACCACATTTAAAAAAAGTTAATGATTAATTTAGCCAAAACCTGAAAGTCAAAGGTGTCCTGTTTTTTACAAACCCACATTATATCTGAAACAGAAATTTACCCCTAAACTGTTGCTATTGGTTAAAAAATATTGGCTCCTTTATGCCTCTAGGGACCGACTGGTGGACAATGGATGATTAATCATCTAAGTCAAGTAGCTTATGAAAGTGATACTCTGAGATGCACTTAGGATCACTGTTTATTTGGAAGGTCCAATAATTCCCAACCTTCCGTTTCCTTCCATGCAAACAACATTTTCTCCAAGGAATGTTGTGTGCATCATTAAGCAATCACCATGCTCACTACAGTATATTCATGGTATCATATAAGCATATGCTTTATTCCATCAGACAACAGACTAGAGTTCCATTTCACTGTTTGATAACTAGCAGTGTGGATCCTGTTGGTCAGGCATGGAGGCGATCTGCCCCTTTAATGTGCCTTATAATGGAAACTTAAATCTAAGTGCCTGTTGCCACAGTTTTGCTGCAAGTCTCTTTTAGTCTGTTTAGTGTTGACCACCTGGCTGTACAGGAATCCCGAGACATCCTTTGATTCCTCTTTCAGTCTTGTTCAGTGGAAATGAAACATTTTGCAGCTTCTGTTTTTAGCATTAGAAAATGTTAAAAAGTTTCCAGAACTATACATTATTTTGCAAGGCACTACAAAAAAGTCAACCTGAAGTAGCACTGTGCACATGCATGTAAGCACTTTGAGACCGATTTGTATACAGCCATCCCCAAAGTACTTATCAGCACAAAACTCCACAAGGTGAGGAAAACTGAGTTCTATTCACACAAAACACAATTTCCTTGAGAGGCAATCATAGATTTTTTAATCTCCACATCTTTGATCATCACCTTCCGTTCTCACACTGCTGGCTCCATTCTTATATTTTTTTTGCTTTCCCTATTGGTGATGGCTAAATCTGTTTTTCTTTTTCTCACAGTATCGAACAAACTCATGTCAATAAAACAGTTTGCTTCATCCAAAAAAACTCTCACAAATTGTATAAAAATATTTGAAATTATTAATTTTTAAGGCAATATTTTGTGATGATTTAAACCAATATTATTTTGCAGTGGACCTTTATGGGGACAATAAAAAAAAAAGGAAACGTAAAAAGAACCCATTATTTTCTTTCAAACATGACTAATTGACTCATCAACAAAAGTGACTTGCATGCCATCCACAGGGCACCCAAAATGACAGCATCATGTGAAAATGATGAGATCTCATGATGACTAGCAGCACTCGACCTTTTGCATTTGAGGTCAGGTGTCGGAGGGAATAGGATGTCCATGATCTAGGAGTGACAGCCTCAGGGCTCTTTGGGCAGAAGCCACAGACAGGAAATGTGCGGGGAAACTTGAGTTTTTCAATCAGGCAGCCTTGCAGGACACTGGTTTTCATGAGTTTTGACAGAAGAATGAAAAATAAAAACAATAAAATGAAAATCAATCCTCATCAAGCTTGGGGCGTTCAGGTGTCTTTAGGATGCAGGAAGATGAAGGAGAGGAATGGCAACTTCCTTTATCATTTACACCTGACAAGAGGCTATTATGTTTTTTTTTCAAGTGTCTAGACAGAAATGTCCTCGATGCTAAAAAAGTTTAGGTTTTTCATTTTTCTTAGATCTCTTTCAATCATATTACTGAATCTGTGAATATAAATGAGCGAGAATCTTTTACGAACAGGAACAATGACTGCAAGCACAGCTTTATTCAGCTCTGCAGTTCTGATGGATTCATGTGTTCAGCCCGTGTCTCTTTGAAAGAATCATTATTCACACATTAGTTAGTGTTGTTGGTTTATCTCACTTGGTAATAATGTCCTCTCCATTTTTCTGCTTCCTGTCTCATTTCCCAAATATCGCCATAATCCTGTTAGATGAAATCTATTAATGTTGTGCTTCAGACTGCCACACTAAAATTTCCATGTCTGCCGATAAGCCCCAAATTTGCCATGAAGGCATATCTGGTTTTCCTCTCTGGATTAGAAAGACTTATTGAGACAACCTCAGATGTGTGAGCGGCGGTTTGCAGTATTCAACAAGCAAACAAGCACATAAAGCTACTTTTTTGGAAACCCCCACCCCCCCTCCCTTGAGAAAAAAATTTAAATTCTCATTTATTTCTGCAGAGCTTTACAGTATTTCATCACAGTTACAGAACCGATTTTCACCAGTTTGATGCAAGTTAATGCCTTTTATTCAACAATTTCTTTTGATAACGAAAATGTATTGAGTGTGTTGTCCACTGTGACAGAAAAGAAAAAGACAACACATTACTAAAGTAATTAATTGTTAAAACATTAAATAAATAAATCATAGCATGATATATAAAGTGTTCTTTTATGTTGTAGGCATGGGATGTATGCGCTAACTGTATAATGATCTTAATTCAAAATGACACAATTCTATTCTATGATTGTATATTGATAGTGGAACATGTCTGTCAGGGTTTATCCCTACTGCTGCTAAATACACTGATTATTGTATTTATAAAAATGCAACAATGCTATATATATTTTTCATTTAAATGCACAAATAAATACAACTATGGAGAGAGCAGCATTTATATCTACTAAAACCAAAAACTGGTTAAAAAACAAAACTAAAATATTTGCACTTTTAGTCTTTATTAAGTGAATAAAGTATAAAAAACTTTAATAAGCTTGTTAAAGGACTGTCTGCTGGTAGACAGTCTGCAGCCTATAACTTGCCAACTATGAAGATTGATGGTGGCACTACAGTGGTTTCTACCAAATGGCTGTTTTCTTTGAGCATAAATATTCAAAAGCAGCCAAGTCTATCTTTAGGAAGCATTCTTTCATCCATATGGTGGTCACTAAAAAATGTTGGGATGACAAACCCCAAATGATTGTTATAATACATATTAGATCTTAATCATATGTAGAGTAGGGGGCAAAGCTTAGGATAAGTAACTGATGTTTGAAATTGAAATTGTAATAGTATTAAGGACACAACAAATGATGTGAAAATAAGTACACAGATAAAGAAAACAAATATATGTTGAGAAATGTACAGTAATAGTGGCGGGGTTGGGATTTGGAGAGCAGCAGGATGACCAGCAAATATATAGTAGCCGTTGCCCCATTTTCTCCCCCTTGGTGGCGCCACATTATCTTTTCGATCAATTTACTGTAAGAAAATAGCAAATGACTTGGGCTTCTTTGAGAAGTGACTTGTTCTCTAAATCACTCCTGTCGTTTACTGCAGAGACCAAATAGTAGAAAATAGCAGCTCTCCACCTGTGTATGAGATCACTATAGATATCTCCCTGACGCCAGGAGTGTCACATTAACCATGTAATTTATTGCGTAAATGCGGGATTTTATCCCCTTTTTTCTGTTTTTACTAAATGATGATTATAATCAGTTGTATCTTGTTTATAAGGTTGCGGTTTCAACGTAAAACGGTTTTATCTCTGAAGTCCAAAAAAGCAAAAAATAGACAAAATAAGAAAGAAAAATAAATTGTATTTATGATAATATACATATAACTGATAAAACTGTACAGATGCACACTTTAATTTCATTCAACGTCTGATACCCGCTGGGATCCCATATTACTTCTCGAAATCAGCGCCCAAACAGGAGGGAGGTTCACCTTTAGCAGATTCGGTGACAAAGAGAAAGATCCTAACGTTTTGCTTTTCGAAGCCCACATGTCTGCCTGTTTAAACGACAGATTGTGTGCCCATCTACGCCTTGTTTCTTTCTCCTCGTTCCTCGCTGCGTAAAGCCATGTGGCCAGCTGGGAAACTTTCAGCACCACGGGAAAAGAACAGCTCCCAGAAAGCCGTGAGTCCTGTCAGTCTGTCAGTCAACAGGCTGCGTTGACAAGTAACGCAGGCGCTCATAAGCACAGAACCATGTAAGCTGCAAAATGTTATCAGAATCAATTATCTGATGCCATTAGAAACGGAATCATTTACATTAAATTGTGGGTTAAAGTGTCAAAACCGTAAAAGAAGTTGCACTAAACTTAATGACAAACATTTACGCATGTTCCATATTCTGGTTACGCCACCTCTGGAGCCCTATCTTTCTCATAGTGTAAGAAATCATACCAGCAAGCAGAGTTTATCTGTAAGCTCTGATGGCTTCTTTCTAAGTGCAATCTCTAACAGAAAGAAAGCATTACTCACCTCTCCAGAACGACGGAAAGATTCAAATAACCCCCCCTAAAAGAAGAACAGCTCCATAACGACGGCTTGGTAAAACTTTTGTTAGCAGCGCGCTTGGATGAGAACGAGAACAGCAGAAAGATGAGGGGACTCTTCAACTAATAACAGAGCGGCTTGAGCCGGCGAAAAACGTCTAGGGAAGGATCATTTTTTAGAAAAAAGCAGAGTCCATTGACATTTCGTATCCTTTCCATAGAAAAAAGAATATATCCTAAGCCATTATGCGGACTACAGTGCAGTTAGAGCAGCGACGGAGAGTGGAGTGCCAGGCGCATACAAATGCGTCCATGCTGCTTTTGCAGAGAGCAGCAGCATCAGCCTCTCTGGGTCCTAACGCTGCGCGCAAACAATGCCATCGGAATCAATCTCTTTTTCAAACACACAGGGTTCGGTTCATAAGCAAGATTTAAATAAAACCAACAAAATAAAAATGGATTAGTGAATTTCAATGCAATAGAGATGCGTTACTATGCAACCTTCATAGGTTCAAATAAAGGGTGAATTCAAGACAAAGAGGAGTTATGTTTTCCTTTGTTTTTGATAATCTTGCATGAAGATTCTAATGCAAAATATCTATGTTCTTTAAAGTTAAGTAGTTGAACATTAAACAACACATGTTGGTATAGGTACAACTGTGTTTTAGAGCTATCCAAGAAAATTTAACTGTTGCCTCCAAAACACTATAGGGTATAGAGGCAAATTTCCTCCACAGAGCATATTTGTTTGTATCATCGATTTAGAAACCCATCCAAAAGTTTACTTAATTTAGTAATTCAATATAAAAATATTAAATGTATAGATGAAATGTACACATATTGATATCTTAAGAATTTAAGTCAATTTAGATTGTTATCACTTACAGGTAATTAAACCAAGAGCTTACTTTACAATGGATGACAAGCAACTTTACTAATGATGTCATCGGAGCCTTCCTTGAGACAATGGGACCTTGAGAATATATATATATATATATATATATATATATATATATATATATATATATATATATATATATATATATATATAGACAATTCATTTTTACCTTTCAGTGTACTGAGGAACAGTTTCATTCTCTTTTGTATCAATTTTCTTAGGACAATTTTGACTCTCTGGTTCAGGGGTTGTTAAAGACAACAAGAATAAATGTGAAAGAAGACACAAGAAAAGAAGAAACAAGAAAATTAAACAAGTTTCTGTAGATTTCTGGTTCATGTCTTTGTGTGGTGGCTTTTAAAGCTTGTTCCCTAGCTGGTCTCAGCAGAGAAAAATTTCCCAAGGTCTTAAAAAGTCTATACCTTACATCCTCTTAAGGATGAAGTTATTCACGCACCTTTGCTCCTTCCTCTGCCACACCTTTTCCTTTAACTTACCTTTATTCATATTATTTATATGTTATATACAACACTCCATTTTCTTTAGCAATACTTTTTTGTTGCTTCCTGTCCTTGCAGGGGATATCAGTGGACATCTGTTCTAAGTTTAACTATTCCCCCATGATTAAGTGGAGGCCGTAGCCTTTCTGGAGTAAAACATTCTCAGTTTTAAGATAAATTGAATCAGAGATTTCTATTGGCTGCAATCAGCCAATTACTAAGACTGCTTGATGAGTACAATGGGTGAAGGGTTATACTTATTTACTGCTTTTATGTATTAAACAGCACATAGCTGTTGTGAGAGTCTAGAAAATATGTCCTTAAAAAACAAAAAAAAACAGAAATGACAAATTGGTGGATGATGGGGTAAACTGGAAATTTGCTTAAATTCAGGTTCAACCTTGACTTAAACTGCAACAACTGATGAAATGTTGTAGATTGAAGGACTGCATTTCAAACATGGCCCATCATCATTTCCAAGGGTAAGGGAAGGTAAAATGATCAGATGGACAGTTGCACTTTTCAAACCCATTTTACTCTGCACTGAGTGTTATCATTTTGATGCTGTTGGCTGGCTTGATGTTCATTTTATTTACCTGTCTAGCTCTGCTTGTTACTCATCACTGCTCATCTGATTCACCTGTTCCTGCTTCTATCTAAACTTCTTCGGCACAGTCATCAGTGCCAGATTATTCTTGAGCCTTTGGTGTTGAGAGTTTTCTAGTGTTTCTATTCTGTTCTGATTGACTAATCCTTATCCGTTATTTGGTCCTTTGAACCTGCCTGCCCCTGTCTGATCTGTTTGCCTGATGTGCCTTTAGACCCCTGTTGGATTCTTCTGTTGCTTGAACCTGGATCTGCCTCTTGACTTCGCCCTGTGGATTATCTTCCCTTCCTTTTTCTGCCCAGATCTGATCTCCTGTCAGCTCTGCAGCCTTCTAGGCTTTCGCATCTGGAACTCCGGCAGCATCCGCTGTGTTTTGTCAGATGAACCGGCTGGAATCATCCTTGTTCTCTGGGCACGGACTGTACAGTCAAACCAGATCATCCTCTGTCAGATTATTGTAGTCAATAACCTGGGTTACACCTCGATAGATGTTCCTGCCTCAGAAGCCCTAGCCGCTCCATGCCGCCACTGCAAATTCGTTCAGTCATTTTTTGAATAAATGCTTTATAAGTATTCCACTGTCTTTCTTGCCAGAATTCTGGGTCTTACCTTCTGAGCCATTACATTGTGAGAGTTATACCTGCACATGCACTGAGATAAGTGGATAAAAATAAACAAAGTACTCTCTAATTACAAACATCTACAATATATATAGATAGTTTTATCAACTTTTCTCCATTCTCTGCATTTCAGAACTATTTTTTTATATATTGCAGATCTTAAAATACTGTATAAAGTATCATAATATCCAAACTATCACATATTTGAGTGTACAAGGGGTAAGCAAGAAACAGCTTTATTCTATCAGCTTTACGCATATTCATTAGTTTCAAAATTAAGCCCTACACAAAAGGCTTGTATAGCAAGCATAGTATTTCATGGTTTACAGATTATTTATATATGATGTGTTTGGCTTGAAGCATAATTTTCTCCCTTACCTCAATGTTAAAAAAAAAAGAAAAAATTCTCCCAAGCACAAAAGATTGGCTTCAAAATTCAATTTCTGTATTAATGCATTTATGTATTCCATCATTCCCTCGAATAGCCTAATGCATTATGCTGCCGGTCTCTTTTCTTCCTGCATCGGCTATTCACTTACTGGACCGTTTTTTTTGTTCCAGTATTTGTACTTTTTCATTCTTATGTTTCTTTAAAATCTCATGTTTTTCTAAGAGAGTAAATATGAATATGACCTCTGCTCCTGTCAATCATGAAACAGGCAGACTGTTTAAGGAGGCTAATTTAAGTTACCTTTTATCGTGCCATGCATCTCAAGGTCTGTCTGGCCCTTTGAGGGAAAGAGGCACTGTCCAGAGGGAGTGCGGATAAAGGATCAGTCCTAATCCTACTCTAAAACTCATAATCCAAAGAAGCATTTATAGAGAACTATATGTTTGCTTTCTGAATAAAGGCTTACAATTTTGGGTCAGTATATTTTACATCATAATGCCATTTGCATTGAATTATAGCTTCTTTTTTTTTTTCAACCATAGTGTATTAACTAACTGGGAAATGATTTTAATTTAATTTAACATTTTACTGCATACTGACCTATGCATTGCCACACATTGTTTTTATTAACATGGTTTTATGAACAGTTCCATAGGCAAAACCTTTTATAGGCACCTGTTTGTTTTCAAAAATACAATAAAAGTTTCATTTAAAACTGCTGTAAAGGATGTGACAACAATGACAAAAAAGGGAGTCATGGCAAGTCTATAGAGTCATGGAAAAAATCATCAGACCCGCTTTGTAGTGATATTATGAGATGAGCCAAGGCATCTAGGTGTGTGTCAAGTTATGGAGGGGGCGTTTCCCAGAAGTGCGTGTTGAAACGTGATTCATTTAGTGAAGTTGCCAAAATTGATGATGTCCGAAGCCTCTCTACCGTGATACCAAGTGACCGCTTCGGGAAGTGGTTCAGACCACACGAAAACTTCGACAGGCCTTTAAACAGCCTCACTACTGAGTCAAGATGTGTGAGTTTGTAGGAGAGTTGCTGTCAGTTGGATAGAGTTTGGATATATTCTAACAATAGATTGGTTGGAAAAATAACCAATCTAGTTGGCAAAAACTATTTTGGTTAGATTAAACAATTTAATGATCAAAATGTGAGCAAGCCACTGATTACAGTTGTAGCATTAGTTTTGAGTAGTATTGCTTTCTAATCAACAATTACCATTGCCTGTGGTGCCAGCTGTAAGACATGTACTCATAATCCTGACATTCGTTCGAGATCTACCTTTGACTTTTGAAAGATGCGATAATACTTTAAAAGTATTTTGGCTAATGTTACTAATTTGTATTGGTTTGCCCTTGTATAAATATAGAATGGGTAAAAACACTGCCAAATTAGATTGGTTGGTTTGGCTAAAAGATTGGTTGAACACATAACTTCAAACCTGATTAAAACCAAAAACTGTGGAAAAACTATGTGTTGAAACTATGTGTCATGATGCGTTGGTTTTACTAGCCCATATGCAGACTCACAGACACGGAGGGAGGAATAAAAGTCCAATATTTATTGGAACACGGAGGAATCTACAGGTTCAAAGCTCAGACAGGCATGATGGCACAGGTAAGACACACGATCCAGCACAGAGAGATATTCACACACAGCTTATATAGGAAACTTCTGCAATCAGCAGACTGGAAACAGCTGATCAAGCTGCGTCCAAACTCCCCAGGCTTGGATCCACGGCGCCCTCTGGTGGGCAAAGTCCCGGATCCTGACAGTACCCCCCCCTCAAGGGCAGATTCCAGACACCCCAAAGAAAACAAAAAAAACCAACTCGCCCATGGAGGGCGAAGGGCAAACCAGGGATGCCAGAAAAAGTCTCAGGTGGCCGGCCATGAAACCGGCCGCAGAGCAGAGTCTCAAAAGCTGCAGGGCCTTGGAAGAGGGCGTCAACTCCGCTTCAGCAGGAAGCACCGGGAGAAACTCTGTCTCCGCTTCCGCATGAAGCCCCGGGAAGGACGCTGTCTCCGCTCCCGCAGCTCTGCAACAGGTCCGCCCAACACGGCTCCGCCTCAGGAACAGAGGAATCCACCGAATGTGGCTTCACCTCAAGGAACCGAGGGATCCACCGACCGTGGCTCCACCTCAAGGAACCGAGGGATCCACCGATTGTGGCTCCACCTCCGAAGGCTCTGGAAGGCGTAGAACAGGCTCATGGGTCTCTCAGACGGCACAGAGCGGGCTCAAGGGTCTCCCAGACGACGCAGAGCGGGCTCAGGGGTCTCCTAGACAGCACAGAGCGAGCTCAGGGTTTTCCAGACGGC